GCAGAAACTGAGGTGACAACTGTCAGGGCTACCTTCTGGCAGATACCCAAAAGGTCCCTCAGAAGAAACTAGCTCCAGACAGTCCATCTGGGTAATCAGCAGAAAATCTCCACATTTTGTCCCTATCTGGACTCCTTCGGGAGGTGAAAGGGGAACTCTGTCAGCAGATATCCTCTGTCTCAGAGTGATCTGAAACGATGCTGTCAGAACCCTTTCTTAAGCCTCCATTAAGAGTTGAGCTACAGGTTTGGACTGCTTTCTCTACTACTAGTAAGACTGCCAGACAAATGTGCAAAACAATTCTTTGATAGAGTAAAAACTACCTGAACCTTTTCTCCCCCCTAGGTATGGTCTTCATCATTTATGTGTGTATGGGAGAAAAATGCCTTTTCTGATAGGTTATACACTTTGGAAGGTTGACTGTGGACTTATAAAATGCTATATGGTGATTTTTTTTTTTTTTTTTTGGATGTTTAACCAGCTTGAGCTTTATTTGGACTTTTTCTCTCTGCTACCGAGTTAAAACTCCCCTTAAACTTTTCTCCAACTTGTTGGGAGTTCATTTCAGAATCCCTAGTAGTCAGACCACTCCTCCTTCCAGAAAGTCAGACTAAGGCAACTCGAAACAACTGTTTTGTCTTGCACTAGGGAAAAATAACAATCAGTAACTTGAATTTGTGTTTTTACATGTTAATTAGAATATGAGACTGATTTGGTCAGTCTTTCTCTTCCTTCATGTTTCCCAGTAGGAAGTTAATAAAGATGCCTTTACTATGTAGATTGCAGCTGCTAAAAAGACCTATGAGTTTCAAATACTTAGTAAATTTAAAATGGAACTTAAAGTAGTAGCCTTGTCTTGCTAATAAAAGTTGCCTAAATGACTGGATAGACAACAGAAATTTCTTAGAGCTTTCTCTGCCCTAGGGCCCAGGGCAGAATCTCTGAACAATCTCTGGAGGTGATCTCTTTTACAGGAAAAGTGCCCTAATTTAACTGTTGACTTATTTTCCTCTCTCTTTCAAGGAACTAAAAAGCAGTGGTTTAAATCTCTTGGTTTGCTAGCAATACTTCCTTCTCTAAACATGATTGTTATGGCTGAAGTCAATTATAAGTTGTGCTTTAAGAGTACCTACTGGAGTAAGGATATGAGTTACCTGAGGAAGATAAGATCGTGTGCTGGTAAAGGATAGATAGTCCAGTTCAGTTTTATTTTCTGGTTCTCTCTCCAGATGGTAGCTACCTACCCTGGAGTAGTATAAATATTGGGGGATGCCCTAGGGATGTCCTAGGGGGCACAGGAATCAAGCAGAGACTTATGGGATGTCATATTTATTTCTCTTGTTTCAAATTGGGACTGTATATCTGAACCTCTTACTCCTTTGGAATATATTAAGGAGCAATTTAGTATTTCTCTACATCCATGTGTGGTGTGACTACCTCCTAAAGCCAAGTACACAGAGGAAAGTACTATGATGCTATCTCACAATTAGAATTATACTGTAAAAGAGAGAAAATGGTCAAAATCATCTTATGTTGAGATTTTCTTTACATTAAGAAGTAATTCTTGCTTGTGTTCAAATGTAAATGTGGGCCATAGAAAAATGAGACACACCTCACCCTTAAGGCATTCAGTACCTCTAAGTCTTAGGCTACTCCTCCCCCTAATTACCAGGTGCTGAGGGGAGAATTTCTAGGCCAGCTATCATTAATCTCCATGAAGCTGTATCCATCCTTAGCTAAACTGTTGAGGTCTCTCAAAGACAATATCCGTTGCAGGAGATAAATGGCAAATATGGGACTACCTGTGTTCATGTGTCTTTTTCTCTCAGTAATCTTAGACAGATCAAATGAGACTTAAAAATTTTCAGATGACCCTGATATGTACATTGAGGTCTTTAGAGGACTTACTCAGACCTATGGACTAGATTAAAAAGATGTAATGTTGCTTTTAAATCAAACATTGATTTCTAATGAGAGACAAGTAGTATTATAAGCTGCTACTACATATAGAGAGATATTTTAATTTTGGATGCTCAAAAAGACAGGCAGCCAGGGGAACAACTGGTTTCTAGTAGAACACAAGCAGTTGCTATACAAGACCCCCACTGGCCTGCCAATCAGATAAGAGATTAAATAGAAGACATTTTCAGGCATGTATTCTTGAATATCTAAAAAACATGAGAACCACGTCCTTCAATTATTTTAAATTGTCAACTATTTATCAGGAAAAATAGGACATCCCTACATCCTGATTTGATAAAAGAAAATATTACAGTTTTTCCCAAGTCACGGTCTTGCAATATGTAGATGGTATGCTGTTATGTGCTCCCTCAGAAGAGCTTTCTAGCCAAGACATCTGCTCTGCTGAATTTTCTAACAGGCAAGGGTTATAATAGTTCTAGATCTAAGGCTCAACTTTGCTGCCTCGAGGTAAAATATTTAGGCCTTATTATATCTAAGGGAACCCAAAGACTGGGGGAAGAAAGAATTAAACCAATTCTTTCCTTTCCACAGCCCAAGACTGTAAAACAGCTAAGGAGATTCCTGGAAATTACAGGCTTTTGTGGCCTTCAGATAGCAGGATATAGTAAGATTGTGTGGCCCCTCTATTAGTTCGTAGAAAAACCCAAGAGACAGACACCTGGGAACCTCATTCCCAGACCAAACTCTAGAAGCGCAAACAAGCACTTCTAAGTCCCTAACTACAGGACACCATTTCAGTTTGTATGTTAATAAAAGGTGAGACATGGCTTGGGGAGTGTTTCTACAACATCAGGAAGGTGCTCAACAGATTATTTCAATCATAAATTAGATATTATAGATTCAGAGTAATTCATTAAAAGGGTAAGCCCTAAACAATATAGTTAGAACACTTCCATTCTCTTTCAAGAGACAAAAAGCAACCATTTGGGTTCTTTGCTTATTGGTTTGAATTTTTTGCTTGGCAGTGGAGTAGGAGTGAATCATAGCTTTTGTCTCTGGAGACGTATTTTGCTAAGGATTGAAGATCCACTCTGGAAAAGCTCTTGATCTTAATTTTCCTTCTACACCTGAGATTTAGTTCTTGTGCCATACTTAGAGGCACTCTTGTTCCTTCTCCACTGCCCTGCTTCTGAGAAATAATGCAGTTTGATTCAAGACACTTCCCTCCTCTGTGGCTGCTGGATTTCAAGACAAAGCTTTCTTTCTCCTGATAAATTTTTCCTACTCTTAACCTCTGTTGTTCCTAGAATTCCTTCTTCAATTTTAGAGAACACAAACTCACATTTCAGATATCTAGTAGGTGTGGGAGTTACATCTCTTCCCCCTTTATCACTACCAGCCCACCTTGTATGGCACTGACATGCAGGGAAGTGTGTTCCTTTTCAAGGCCTGTCTCTGGAGCCTTAAGAAAACATTCCAGATCACATTAAAATAGGCATGAGACCTAGCTTCTATTCCAGCTCTGCCTGGATCTAGTTGTGTCATATAGGCAAGTTCCTTCTTTTTTTGATGTTCTCAAGTATGGCCTTTTCAACTAAGGGTGTAATAATCATCAATGCATTGTCTTCTTCATAAAATGAGGACCTGAAGACACTGGCCACCATAGAAGGATGAATGAACAATTCCCTTTGCTTCACTAGAATTTGTAGTCCAGTGCCTCTACATGTCTTTCCTTGGCTTTGTTTGTCCACTAAGTCCTTTCAGCTAGGGTCTCATCAGTACCATAAAATAGAAGAAAACTGCCAAGCAAATATAACTCAGGTGGAAGCTCACCTGTGAGAAAGAAGGTGATGTATTCAAGCTGACTCAAATGGGAGGTGGATGCCTGGAGATGGGTTGTATTGGCTTTACCATCCACTGGCTGCATGATCTTGGATAAGCTACCCTAGTCCTCTTCATTTCAGCTCTTGCTCTTTAAAGAAAAAAAAAAGTAATGATGATTATAACGGTCAGCATTTACTGACTGCATTCTAAACAGTAGATGAACTCCCATACATTGCCTTCAACACAACACAGTGACATAGGAACTAGTATATCCATTTTTATTTATGAGATAATAAAGGCTGGGAGATAGTGAGTGGCAGACCCAGGATTCAACCCCAAACATTTAACTAGCACTGTCATAGTAATTCTGAGTCATTTTCAGCGTAAATTAAATTGGAATTATCCATGAGGTAAGGCATATGTATAAAATGTATGAGGCTCACTCTACCCAGGTATTTACACAAGGAACCACAGAAGTTGTCACTAAAGTTAGTGTCAGGGCACATGTGTTTGCTATCAGGATATGGCACTGCTGGTTCTGGTGGAAAGGGAAGGCTCTATCTACCTTGGCTACCAGTCATTGTGATTTTGTGGGGCCTACTATATAGCAAGGCACAAAAAAATGGACCAGGATATTACTTTGCAGGCCATCAGCAGAATCTCTGCCAGCATTTTCTGTAGTAATGGACAAGGATGTCATCCCATAGGCATTAAGGACCTTGGCACTGGACACTGGCAGGAACTGAATGTTTTAGGCACACATCAGCAGTGACTGGAGTCATTGCCCTACATGAGCTAGGGTAGGAGAAGATAAAAGCACCAGATGTCACAAGTGTTTGCAGAGTAAACGGGACACACCCCCAGAGGCTGTTGACCAGATACCAAGGAAGACAGAAACGCACGACTACTGGAAGAAATTTGAGAGAGATCTTAAATTTTCACACAACAGAGTGTACTTTCTTGGAGAAATACTGTGTGTGCTCTTGGGATTCTATTTTTATCCCTAGGTTTGGGTGGTCTGGAAAATGTAGGGTACTAATGAAACCAAAGTTTGCTACCCAACCTGTGCTCTACAAGGGTCTTTTGCTTTGCCTTCTGATCTCCAGAATCAAACTCAAGGCACAGAAGCCCCAGGGCAAGTAAATGCAGATCCACTGAGGAAGTGAAAGGGTTTCTGATGCTAATTTGTTGCCCCAGGGGACTGACTGGTGTTACCCTACAGTAATCACTAATTCTGTGGTTGCAGTCATGCTCAGAGAGAAGAGTGAATGGTTTCTCTGACTGGACTCAGGGCTTTCCAGAGAAAGAAGTCTGGTCCAGGGCAAAGGGGCATTGTTCCCTGATGACTGTTGGAAAGTGGAGTGCTCTGGAAGGAAGGGGTCTGCAGCTACCTGAAGGTGGTGAGTGCCCGTAGGGGTGAGGGGTGGGGGACATGTGGTGAGGACCACATTCCTCCTACCGGGAAAAAGGGGCTGGCTTCCTTCTGAGAATACTTTCTGCTGGGAAGGGGCTGGATGACCTATCCACCTCCCACCACGCCTGCAAATGGAGAGCTTTCCTACCCCAGAGGAAGGAGAGAGGAGACAAAAGGAGGGAAAGGGCTGCAGGGCATGTTCCTCTTCTCTCAGTAAAAAGAAAAGCTGTCTTCAATTAGGAAGGGAAAGCAGATTTAAAGCATCTGATGGGAAGAGTGCTTGTTCTGTAAGGCCTTGGAGAGTAGGGGGAGAGAGGGGGGCAGATGTGAGCAGCCCAGAGGCTTGCAGACTACAGCCTGCCTTGTGGGCCTGACTCCCCATCCTGTGGTTGAGGTCTCTGGCTACCTCCTGCCCTGGATTGAAGAGAGCCCTCTGAGCAGCCCAAACCTGGGGGCAACACACCCACTGCTTTCTCTTGGGGGGTCAATAGGTAATTTTCACAACAGCAAGACCACCCACTGAGCCACTACACAGGTCGCAACCTCTAGCATTTAGGCAACTAATGAGTTTGGTTTTGCCTGCAGAGAGGGAACACCTCTTCTTATCTCACCTCTACCTAGCTGCCTGCTGCCCCTCTCTTTTTTCAGACTAAGTCTCACTGTGTAGTCCAGGGCAGCCTTGAACTTTTTATGTAACCCATGATAACCTCAAACTTAAAATCCTCCAGCTTCTCACAATCCTCCCACCCCAGATTCTGGGACTGCTGGGACCACATGTGCGTATCACCATACCCAGCCTCCTCCTTCTTTAAAACACTTCCAACCTCCAGCCTCTAGGAAGTCTTTTCAGATGATTTTGGTAGAAACCATCCACACCTCTTCCCAACTACATACAAAGTGGTGATACAGCACTATGAGGTTGCTGCTCTTTCCTGCTTCTGGTGTCTTCTGTGCACTGCCTGCCTCCCACACCCCAGGCACAGCTAAAGACTGAAGGTCTTTGATTACAGGCAAGATTGTGACTAATTCCCTGGAAACCACTCCTTTCCCAAGACCCCAGGTTTTCACAGGCATCACAAGACTCCAAAGCCTGAAGGCTTTTCAGAGATTACCTGCAGGGTGGGATTTATTGCATTCCCCAAAAGGTCACTGCCCAAGCAGGCTCCCACCAGGATTGTTTTGGGGGTGGCAGGCAAGACCTGGAAAGGAGGCCAGGGAAGGTGCATTCCATTTTTTTCAATGACTGAGTTGACTTAGAGCTATGCATTCCAGGAATTGTGCAAATGTGGGTCTAGTGTCTCATTTCCACCAGCCTCTTGCCTGGGAACATGGTTCTCTTACCGGTTCACAGCTGTGTTGAGTACCCAAGCCCTAGAGAGTCCCTCCTACTTCAAGCTACAATTAAGCACCACTTTCCGCAGGAGCAGCCATTCAAAGGCACATACCAGAGCTTCACTTCTGTCCCACCTGAGACTTCTAAGGCTTCCAGCCACAATGACAGCAATCAGTTGTCTAGAATGGAACCAATTTGATAAACGGAGAAGAGATGTAACTCCCAAACCTACTAGATATCTGAAACGTGAGTTCGTGTTCTCTAAAATCGAAGAATGAATTCTAGGAACAACAGAGGTTAAGAGTAGGAAAAATTTATTGGGAGAAAGAAAGCTTCTGCCTAAGAGAGACAGAAGGGGGACCAGAAAGTGGGTTGCCCACCCACCCCACTTTTCAAAGATGTGTTATACAGTAAAGCCATGTGGTGAGGCGGGTACGAAGTGGGATGAAACTGTAAGACCCAATGGAAATTTACAAGGTGGGCATGAGGTGGGACAAAACCATGACCAATCAATAACATTACAAGTACAGTCACCCAGGCAATACTGGTTAAATGGGGGTCGAATGGAGGAGCAAGTCATGAAGGAAGCATACAAGGATTTTCAGTAAGGGTGAGAGTCAGGGATATTTCTGGGAAAGGCTGGGTTAAGAACTTGATCCCCCACCCAGGTGATTGATACCTGTTTAGAATATCAATCACTGCTATTCATCCTACTTGGGTGTAGTAGTTTCTCTTCTTTTACAATTTTGGCCTTCAGTGAATGTGTCTTCACTGTCCTCCAGGTTGACTCCTTGATTGTCCTCCAGGTTGACTCCTTGACTGTCCTCCATGTTGGCTCCTCCTGGGCTGGCCTTGTCTAACTGCCTATAAGATATATAATTAACTTACCTATCTGCAATAAGTTGACTTAGACTTCAGCTGGTTTATGTACAGCAAATGTCCAAACCCCTGGCCGTGGACTGGTACCCATCGGCCTGTTAGGAACCGAGCCGCATAGTGGCAAGTGAGTGGTGGGATAGGCCAGCAAAGATTCATCTGTATTTACAGCCACTCCACATTCCCCACATGACCTCCTGGGCTCTGCCTGTCTCTTGTCACATCAGCAGCAGCATTAGATTCTTCACGGGAAAGTGAGTGCTACTGTGAACTGCACATTTGAGGGATCTAGGTTGTGTGCTCCCTGTGAGAATCTAACCCAGAACCACCAACCAAACCTCATCTATGGAAAAAAATTTTCTTCCATTAAACTGATGCCTGAGGGAAAAAAGTTTGGGTACCACCTATGCTTGGGGATATCTATTGCTATAAAGCTATATCATCGTGGACTTTCAGAGACAAAAGGGATTTTAAACATTGAAGCCAATTTTTTATTTGACATGAAAGAGAAACTAAGGTTCAGAGAAGTTATGCTTCATGACCAAGGTCACACAACCAGTTAGAACAGCTAAGGCTACTCCATTTGCAAGAACCTCTGAACTGGTGATGTTTCCATGATAAGCAGGGTTGGATTAAGACACTAAGAGACCTAGGCACAGAAACAAAATTGATGTGACTTTCACATTTTAAAAAGATAAAACAAGTTTTACTCAAGTGAAAATAGCTTGCTCCCACCCCCGATATTTTTATTGCAAGATTCTGCACAAGTTCACTAGTGATTAGCTTGTCACTTTTCTGTTTATTTTCTCAGCCTGGTGCCTTGTAACACATGCTCTGTCTTGCCATTTGGGTAGATACCCGATAATGATAAATGCCATGTATTTTGAGTGAGCACGTTTGAATAACAAGAGCTCCCACACTATCCTGTTCTCTTGGGTTCCTTTTGCAGGGATCTGTGGCGGAGGGAAAATTTTAGGAGATTTTTAGGGCTGGGAAAAGACACAGGGTCAGGATCCTCAGCTAAGTCAAGATAAGGCATCTCAGTAACAATAGCCCCTGTATCCTGCAGATTTGTGCCACGCCTAGCCTCCTAGGGAATTTGTGAAGGCTGTCTAGTGCCATCTCTTCTCCTGCCCCTGAGGCTTCCAGCATCACTAGCCAAAAACCAACCCACTGAGTGAGTGAAGAGCCAGAGAGACCATGCTGACACATACTGGGAAAGCACTCATTTTAGATCCAGGGACTGGGTGGGGATCAGATCTGAGTATGGGGATTTTGGATCCAGCCACTGAAGATTCACAGCTAAATTCTGGCCCTAAGACTCTTCAAGAACAAGCAAGAGGAAGACTTTATGGTTCCATGAAACGAACAGTGCAGGTGTGTGAAAGTACAAAAGGTCCTTTCAATCCAGTCCGTTCAGATATTAACTTTCTCCATTAACTCCATTCCATAAGCAGAATCTGCTTGCATAGCCCTTTTACACTAATTCTGTTAGAACTAAAAGACAACCATAATTTTACCCCCAAATTGAGGAAGGAGACAATCAGGCAGCCAGAGTGAAAATGAACTCAAGGACTGACGGACAACCCCATTCAGAATCACAAGCTACTGCTCACCCTTTCAGTTAAAGGTGGCCATAAAAATATGAGATTTGATCCTTCCTTTAGTATTTTGGAGGGTTATTTAAAAAAATAATTTTGTATTAGCGATTTGTTGGTTTAAAATTTCCATAAAGAAGAAATTCAAACCCATATTCAGAACATTTTGAAAGCTAGTCTCATGGTCAAGATACTGTTAAGAGTTGAATATAATACTCTCTCATTCCTCCTTCATTTTATTCATCTGCCTTGGAAGTAGAAGCTGAAAGTTTTGGGTTCTTTTTCCTCTAATTTCCGTACCTTGAAAACCCAGAGACAAGTTCTGGTATGTGACCAATCCGTACATTTATAGATTTCAAAAGGGCAGACAATACAAAGAGGTGAGATAGGAGAAATCGAAAATATAACAGATGCTTTTAGAATTTTTATATAGTTAATCAATGCTAATCAGTCTGGCTTTAGGGTTAAGGCCCTGAGATTCACATGTTACCCAAATCCTGACTCATAATAATGCCATCTGGAGGGCACTGAATTGAGCTCCAGAAGAGAAGCCACATAGCTTGCCAAGAGAGTGACAAAGGAGTAGGAGGAAAGAGACGGGGAAAGTTCAATTTTTCCTTTCTTTTTAAAAGAAAAGAAAGTCCTGAGCAATCCCTCTTAGGCTGGTAAAAATCAAACTTGGTCCCAGATATATTAAGCAGCCTGCGAATCCAGGAAGACTTTGGTCCATTGACTGAGAGGTAGAGGATCAGAGGCATTTATGCCTGCTCGGGATGTTCAGGAAGCTGAAACCTCCCACCCTGAAGCTGCTGCACTGACCTGACCCCTTCACAGGCAGATCTGGGAATTAGAGGGCTTGTGTGAGCTCACCTCTCTGCGACCTCCCAATCATGCCACTTTCCAGAGCCACATCTGGGGCCCAGCTGAGCTCAGAAGCTGCAAGGACTTATCACACTCCTCTTCTGGCAACTGCAGGAGGTGTCAGGGGAGAGGCAGTCACAAAGGCAATGCAGGGAAGCCCCAGCCTCTTGGGTCCTCCTCTGGGATGAAGAACATATGGAGAATGAAGTTGAGGGATCCCTGGGCCAGCAAGCTTTTCCAAAAGGGTGTTGTGCATCCCACTCTTTAGGCTTTCAAAAAAACTATGCTAACACTACCACTGTGATCTTACTAGAAAGTAGGTCAACTGAATGCAAGGACTTTACTTTTTCAAACTGTGTTTCTACTGCCTAGGCCAAGGCCTGGACTAGGAGGAATTTAACACGTGATTGTTAAATGGGTGCAAAAATGAATGAACAATGCCCTGCAGGCTCAGTCTTCCCAACAGTGCTCCATGCTTTGGACCCTTCAGCTTGCTTTCTTCTACCTCCTCTCTCTTGCTTAATCTAGGTCTCCTGCTTCAAGGGTTTAGTCTCAAGGCAAAGAGCTTATCTAAAATTGGGATGATTCTGAACAGAATTGTACTCCTTCCCAGGTCTATTAGTCTGCTCAGGCTGCCACAGCAAAGTACCTCCAATGGGGGTTTTAGACAACTGAAATGTCTCATGAGAGGTTGGAAGTCCAAGATCAAGGATCTTGAGTTACATTTGAGTTAAATTCTGGTCAGACCTCTCTCCTTGCCTTTTGGCTGTGTTATCACATGGCTTTTTCTCTTCTTTTCTTTTCTTTGCATTGTGTGGAGAGAGATCTTTTGTATATCTTCCTCTTACAAAGGCACCAGTCCTCTGGGCTTAGGGTCCTACCCTTATAACTTTAATGTAATTTTTTAAATTTAATTTTACCTCCTTAAGGTGGTGTGGACAGAGTCACCTCGGGAGGTAAAGCTTCACTTGATGGATTTGGAGGGCTGCAATTGAGCCTGTTAGCACCAGGTAAGAAGACCTTGGCCTGGGCCCCACACTTTTCAGACTGCTGCTCTGTCTCCCTTTGGTCATCCCCCTCCGCAGAGGGTGAGGAATCTGCAAGATCAGAGGACCAAGCCCACCCCTGCTGGTGCTCCACCTTCTAGACCACACCCTTGTGTACAGGGGACCCCAGAATTCTCTTCCCAAGGAAGGAGTGTACTTCTCACACAGGGGCTGGCTAAGAGGCAGCTATTTCTATTTCTGAAAGCAGGAACAGAGCTTAGAACATGAGCTGGTTTGTCTGCACATGTGCCTGCAAGGCCCCTCGTGGTGTGGGAAGGTGTCCAGGGAGAGAAAAAAGATGTGATCCAGGATCCAGAGTTTAGGGACTGAGACTGAAGCCAGCTCTCCACAGCTGCCATATCATACCAGAAAGACAGTACGTATTTATTGAATACTTTCTTAGTCTCCTGTATAGATTTTGGATATTTAGGTATGTGCTTTTTGTTCTCTTCTTTCAGGCATAACAAGTGACACAAGTGGCCTGACCTTACATCCTGGTTTGCCCTGGGGTAGCCCCCATTTACCCCTGATGTCCCACAGTACCATTAACATCATCACACTTTCACTCTTGAAAGTGTCTTGATTTGAGATGAAAACTTCTATGCTCCCCTCAGCTACCAAATACACTCCTGCAGAAGTTGGGGGATAGAATAGTATGGTTAGTTTGGAACAATGGAGTAGTTGTTCGTCTGTCCCGAAGCTGGCTGCAGGATGTACCCGATGCACAGGCACACTTCCTCCCTGAGGAGTGTGCTGATTATGCGGAGGGCACAGCCTCTTGCTTTGCTGTCTCTGGAGAACAATACAGGAAGGTGCCCAGATGTATTGAATACTTAATTAATCAGGACCCAAATACACTATGTGGATGATGGAAGAATTATGACCTTGTCCACAAAACTCTCCACACTAAAGCTTCCAGGCTGAAGCATAGGAAATGTTTGAAAACTACTTCAACAAAATAAATAGTAATACAAAACAGGTTAAAATACTTGTGAATATATAAATTAGACAACAACAACAAAAACCATGAAACTCCCAAGTGGTTCACAGAGCTCCAAGTTAAGGACTGTACATAGATATAAGGCATATCTTTCCTACACCCAAATCCTGATTTCCAATTAACACTGTTGTCACATCGCTTCCTGGGGACAGAAGCATGAGGAAGCTTGAAAACAGGTGGGACCATATGGACCAGTGGCCTGACCTGTGACTGGTTTTAAATCTCACTTTGCTCCTTCCCCCTCAGTCCCTCAACTCCCTTCTCCAGATGCCGAGTCCTGTGTGTCTCGATCTGAGGAAGCCTCTGAAGCTCTGTCACCTTTCCTGGCAGCAACTCACTGCACATGCCAGTGTCCATTTACAGAAAGTGCCCACCGTCCACATGGATTAGAGAGTCACAGATTAGGGTCATTCACAGCCTTGAGTTTGCAGAGAGCCCTGAGGTGGTTTCTTCTCCTCTTGTACCACTGTGGAGAATGGTTCTTAGTCGGGGTCTCTAATATTTTTAATATTTAATTTTATTAAGAAATGCATATCCCCATTGAACAATATTCAGAATGTATGAAAGCAAATACCACAAAAAGTCTTATTTACTCTGTTCCTCTCCAGTTTTGTGCATTTTCTCAGAGGTATTTGGGGTTTTTTTTTCCTCCTTTCTACCTCCTTTTTCTGCTTTAAAAATACAAGATAGCAAGCAATAAAACATATTGCTCTGCACTGTTTTTATGAAATTTTAATTGTAGAATAGTTTTAGATTTACAGAAAAGTTTCAATGATAGCACAGAATTCCCATCACCCACCATAATGGTTTCCCCTACTAATACTGTCTTAACATCAGTAACGTGCATTTGTTACAATTAATGAACCAATAACGATACATTATTTTTACTGAAAGTCTATACTTCATTCAGAATTCAATTTTTTTTTACCTCATGTCCTTTCCTGTCACAGGATCATATCCAGATAACACACTAAGTCCTTGTGTCCTCTTAGGTTCCTGTTTTATGTAGCAGTTTCTCAGACTTTTCTTGCTTTTTTGAAAACCTTGACAATTTTGAAAAGTACTGAGCAGGTACAGTATTTTGTTGACTGTCTCTCAGTTGGGCTTTCTTTGATGATTTTCTTGAAGACTGGTCATGAGTAGAAAACCACAGATAAAGGACCCTTTTTATAACAAAGGTATCCATAAACCTTGGTCACCTGACTGAAGGTGATTGCAGGCTTCTCCTCTGCAACAAAGTTAACTTTTTGTTTCCCCCTTTGCATACTTGTTCTTTAAAGAGAGTCGCTATATGCAGCCTATATTTGAGTGAAATTTATATTCTATCTTGAGGATATCTGTGCAAATTATGTAGAGTTCTTTGGACAGAGATTTGCCTCTTTATTCAATTACTTATTTGTAGCATTATTTACTAACAAATATTATTTTGCATTTTGTGTTATAATGTATATTAGTCTACTTAAGTGACCATAAAAAATACCACTCAGTTCTGGAGGCCAGGAAGTCCAAGATCAAGGTGTTGGCCCATTTGGTTTGGGGGGGCATTCTTTCTGAGTGATGGACAGCCTCCTTCTCATTGTGTCTTTCTTTAAATAGTAGAAAGAGAGAAGGAACTCTCTTCTCTCTCTTCCTATGAGGGCACTAATGCTGTAGCATCAGGTCCCTACCCTATTGCTTCATTTAACCTTAATCACTTCCTAAAACCCAACCTTCAGATAGTCACCTTGGCTGGCTTTAACTTGTGAATTTTGGGAAACACAATTCGGTCCATAGCATAATCTGATAGTACTTCATTTTTCTGCTCAGATTGTTCCAGTTGTGGCTATTAGGATCTCTGTCAGTTGGTTCCTGTACCTCTTTGCCACCCTTTTTTTCTTTCTTTTTTTTAATTGGAAATTTGCACTCCCACATCATTTTATTGTGATCTTTTTGAGTATTTCTTTACTATGGGTTATGCTTTTCACTTAATCTATTATACAAATTGGCCCCTACTATTAAAATACTCCTCAATTAATTCACAGCTGAAGAGATTGCTCTTGGACAGCCATTTGACTAACTAGCCTCTTATTAATTAACATTTAGATTGTGTTCAGTTATTTGCTATTAGAATCAAAACAGCTATAAGTATCACAATTGGTATGTTAGTGTAATGCCAGATGATTTCCTGAATGAGTTTCTTAATCCATCTGGCCTGTTATAACAAAATACCATAAACTGTCTATCTTACAAAACAGAGCAATTTGTTTTTCAGAATTTTGGAGGCTGAGAAGTTCAAGATCAAGCTGCCAGCAGATTCAGTGTCTGGTTAGGGCCTACTTCTTGGTTCATAGATGGTGTCTTCTTGCTGTGTACTCACAAAACAGAAGGGCTGAGTGTCTCTCTTCTATTAAAGCTGCAAATTTCATTTATGAGTACTCTACTCTCATGAACAAATCACCTCCCAAAGGCCTCACTTCCTGATACCATCACCTTAGAGGTTAAGGTTTTAACACATGAACTGGAAGAGGGGGTTATTCTGTGCATTGCGGTGAGCAATTGCTAGGCCAGAGAAATGTATGTTTGTCCTTCTGATGGATACGGATAATTGCCCTTCCGTGAGGTGGCCACAGCCCATGTTTCCAGAGCTAGCAGATAGGCACAGGCTGTTTCATCTTTCCCTATATGGTGCATAATTAAATGTTTAGCTATTCCACAGGTCTTAAAGGTGGAAAACAATGTGTTATTTGGATCATTCCAGTGAAAATGTGCCAGAGCTCAGCCTGGTCACTCATTTCAACTCCTGTGAGTGCGTGACGCTGTTCTGAACCCTGATACCTTTTACCAGAGTGCTCCACCCTTGGTCTTCCTGTCAGCTCCTCCCTGTGAGCTCACGTCATGCTCACCAGCTAACTGTGCAGGAAGTCAGGGCAGGTCAGTCCCATTTCGCCAGCATAACCTCAAGATGGCAAGGCTCGGACGTCATCTGGTGCAGACCGCTTGTTTTACAGTGAGAGGCATGACATGTCCGAGGTCACACAGCTGGTTAGTGTCAACGCCTGGGCCAAACTCCAGGTCTTCCTATTCTTAGTCTGGACTCTCCATGGTGCCTGCCTTTGCTTAGAACCCAGCACCTGCTTCAGTAAAACTCTCCAAATTTCAATAAAGCTGATCCATCAACTGATCTACGAGAGAGAGATCCACCCAACTAAGATTAAATTTTCCCTCTCCAAAGGAGGGCATTAACCCACTGAGAGACCTAAATTCAGAAAGGAAGCAGATGTTGGAGTGTCACTAAAATTCAGAGAGCTGCATGTGTCGTACAGAATAGGCAGTGTATACTGACGTCAACAATTTCATATGAGCACATCTGAACATTTTACTAATCATGACACTAATATTAATGTAGTATTTGCCATTTCCTTAAAGAAAACCTCAAACGATTATTTCTGGGTGGTTTTGGAAGCCAAGCAGTGGACAGGCTTGTTCTTTGAATTGTAATTTCACTTTCTTATTCTTAGACAACCACATACAACAATCTCCCCATCTTGCTTTTTCATACCTGCCCTCTCTCTTCCTATTTTCTCCTTGCTATTTCTCTCTAGCATCTTTTTCCTAAGTGTGACTGTGTGCAAATTATCTCCTCTCCCAGAGCCTTAACATCCTTATTCGTACATAAAAAAAACTTCAATGAATGACTTGTGAGTTCCTTTATGATACTGAGATTCCATGATGACATTACTTATCATTTTTCTGTTACTTTCTCTCATTTCCAAATAACACAAGAACTGTAGTTATAGTAGGCCAGGAGCCTGATAGTTTCTTCCTTGCAAAGGTATCTAGATTAGTGTACTTTTTCAACAAAAAACATTTGCCTTTCCAGTGCATTTTATTCAGGCCACCACTAAAGCAGTAGGATCAGTTCAGTTCCCAGCTGAAGACTACCATTTTCTATAAGAGAAATCTAGGGCAGATGAGTAGCAGGGGCCTCCAAATTATATCACAACTGTGGCAGCTGTTCAAATATAGATGTTCTGCCTGATAGAATACTGAATTTTTCTTTACTAGCTGGTAAATAATCACTGTCCCAAGGATCCAGGGACACTCCACTACCATCCTTTCCTATTCACCCTAGTTGTTGAAACATGATATTCAACACCCACACTTAGAGGAGAGGCTTAGATGTAAAATGTTCCCCCAAAGTCTCATATGTTCAGAGCTGGGGCTTTTGAAAGGTCAATAGATCATGGCGGAGCTACACTCATCGGTGAGTTCATCCATTGATGAGTTCATAGCTAAATGTGCTCTTAGGAGGTGGACCTGGTTGGAAAAGGTGACCTTGTCTTTGGAGGCTCTATCTCCCCCCCCCCCCCGCGGTTCCTCCCTTCCCTCTTTGCTTCCTGGTTTCCACAAGGTTTGAAGCTTTCTTCTACCATGCCTTTCTACCATGATGTTTCTGTCTTGATCCAACAGGAACACTGATGGGTGGGATGCTCTAATTTGGGAGACAGTGGGTGCTAAGAGTTTCCAGGAAGACAGAGGCAGGCTGATTGGCTCAGCTGCTTAGAGCATGGTGTTAATGAGGCCAGGTCACATCCCGGTTGCCTGCCGCACCCAACCAGCAGTCTCCTTTCTGGAGTCACAGTGACCCTATTCACCAGAAAAGGAGGGGCCAGGGCGGAGAGTAGAGATAACTATGTCAAACCATCCACTCTGCTAAGGAAAGAATTATGCTGGTGGACGGTCCTTGGCATCTTCTCTACATGCATCACCTCTCATTCATTTGGGGCATGAATGCATAGGGCCATCAGTTAGTTTGGGCTGCCTAACAAACCACCTCAAAACTTGAAGACTTCAATCAACAACCCTTTGTTTTAACCTTGTGATTCTTTGGCTTGGTGGAATAGTTCTGGTCTAGCCCAGCTCTGCTGATCTCTCATGAACTTGCTTAGGCTGGAGGCCTCGCTGAAGGCAAGATAATCTAACATGGTCTTATTTACATAGTCTAGCAGCTGCTCAGCTGTCATCCATGGCAATGGAAAATGTGGAACAAGTGGGTCTTATTTTCTAGCAAGCTACCTTAGATTCTTCACGTGATTCTGATGGCAGAGAACACAGGACAGCAAGAGAGGGTAAATGCCCATGTATATTGGATTTTAAAAGTTGTCATTCATGCACTTGGCAATTACATATCTGTTCCAACAATGCTATCATCATGCAAAACTTCACTGGAATTCCTTTCTGTGAGTCCACAGAGTCTTGACAATACTGATGCAATTGGCAGAAGAAGCAATATTTCCTACAGCAGCTGCATAGGAATTATATCTGACTCAGATGTATCAGATGACTAAGGTAAATGATCAAGCTGGATATTTTTGGATGAGAACCAATCAACACGTTACAAGAGGATGATTCAGTTGTGTGGATGGCAAGGTGATGTCTGCCACCTGATCTTTTCAGGGTTGGATTTGCAATTTTTACCTCATATCTGCAGTGTTAGTGCTACTTAATATTTCTGAGACATTAAGCAAATCTCTTCCTTCTCTATGCTTTGGGTTTTTCCCAGTATAATAAAGGGCTTGGATTCTAAGATTCTTCCAGTTTTAGGAATCCATGACCCTACAATATACTTTGCCTGAGGAGAGATCACTTTAACTAAAAGGAGTGTAAATTGCGTGCCTTAAAATAGAGACAAGCCTTTTCCACTACCTCCCACTTAGGACATGGAGACTGAGAAGATGCTGTTTAGTAGGAGATCAGATTCCTTTGGAAATGGGGAATTTAGGGGCAAAATAAACATCATTTCCAGGACAGGAACTCAGACTCAAATGTTGCAAGTCTTGTCTCTCTCAACCCTTCACGCATTACAAATTTTATCATTTATCCATTGACTTTTCTGAGCAGGAAAGAGACTAGGCAAAGTAGCATATAGCATCCTTCTTATTCCCATGCAGCTGCCGGAGGCTTCTTTTTCCTTTGGTCAAATCTGATTTGTATTTCCTCATGGTTAATACCCCTAGAGTGCTCCAGGCTGCTTTCTGCCTGACTGTAACATAAATAAAGGTGTGTGACCTTGCAAAAGTGAGTAGAAGTGGAGAGTCAGGGATCCAGACACTGAGGACAGGATGAGCCATTCCATTTCCCCACTTCCCAGACCTTGCTCTTGTCCTCCTGAAAAGCCTTAGGAAGGCCTCCTGGGGGAAGTTTGAACTCATTCCCACCCAATCCTGTTGGTTCCAGCTACTCAACCTTGTACTGAATAGCTTTTCACAGCTGTTTTTAGTTAGGTGTCCATTTATGACGTTGGCATACGTGTGCTTGTGCACTGTGCGTGCACCTTGTCCTCTCGGTTTTCTGTTACCCAAGGCCCCCAGCAAATCCACTTGGATTCATTCAGAATCCCAAGTGGGGGCAATCACAAAGCAACATAATGTTCAAATTCAGGAAGCATTCACAAATGTATTTCATAGAGGATACTCTCGGTTATTCATAAACAGGAACAGAGGAAAAATGAAGAACAGAGATGCAGAGAATTATGTATGTCTTCAGATTCCAAAAGAATAAGTTACCCTAATTTTAAAATAGGTAATAAAGTAGATTATAATCTTCTTGAAGCAGGTACTTTCTCCTTTTTTAGGTCTTCTTAATGACCAGTTTAAGGCTTACCCCTGATTTTACCCATTTATTTATTTATTCATTCAATAAACATTTATTAAGTTTCTCCACATACAGGACACTGCTCAAGGTCCTGTAGGAGCTGCAATGATGTTCTTCCTGTTTCTTTTTTTTTCTTTCTTTTTTGTTACTGGGGATCGAACTTGGGTCCTTGCGCTTGCACAGCAGGCAGTGAAACCATTGAGCTAAATCCCTGGCCCCTGTTCTTCCTGTTTCTGAGTGGAGCAGTGTCACTCTGAGCCAACGGTTACATTATAGAGGGCGCTCTTTTGCTTGTCTTCAACTTCACAGATCATTCTGAATGTGGGGTGAAATCACCAGCGTTCTCGGCAGGGGAGAGACTCTATCCCCTACCCAACACATCATCTTAAATGGTAAGCTTTTGACACAGTCCTATTAAATAGTGAGACATGTCTCTGCCTAGGTTTATATAATTGGTGATGCAAAATTCAGAAACTTTGACTCTCAAAAGTCAGTCAGCAAATTCAGTGAGGTCGTGTTGACAAGTTTGAAAGGACTAATTGCCTGGAGACATGACCCCCATTCTAATCTCTTCATCCCTTCCACATTTATTAATGGAAGAGATTTTTCTTCTCATCATTTAATTATGTCTATGATCTCTTGTTTTATTCAGGATATATATATATCCTGATATATATATATGTATAATATTTTACAACCATAATTTCTTCTGCTATCCAAACTGACTCAGAGCTGGCCACTAAAAGCTCCTGGAAGCTGGCTCCTCTGTCTTTGATATGTTCCCATCATTGAGCATCTGCTTGCTTTTTGAAAATTTTTTAAAAAATATAATAGAAGTAGATATTAATAAAGATAATATAAAAGCCCTTCTATGAAAAAAATATTTTTTCATAACAAAAATGATTAGAGAAGGGCCAGGGATTTAGCTCAGTGGAATCTTGAAAGCACAAGGTCCCGAGTTCGATCCCTGGTACCAAAAAAAAAAAAATGATTAGAGAATAACAATGGTAAGTACACTATGTATCATGACCTAATAAGAATATGTTTTCACTTGCTAATCTCTCAGCTCATTTCCTAACAATACTATATCTTTTTTGTTGTTTAAAATATTTTAAGTATTCACAGAGTATCTCACATTCTGTATAATTTTGAATAATTTCTTCCTATTCATAATATTTTTCATTCTTTTTGCTCTTTATTTTCACTTTCAGTTTCTCACACCAGAGAGGTAATGCAATATTTACACATGTGTGTTTGATTTACTTCACTTAAGAGTATGTTCTCAAGATGCCAGGGATTTAGCTCAGTGGTTCCGATGCCTACCATGCAAGCTCAAGGTCTGGAGTTTGATCCCTGTTAACAAACAAACAACAAAAAAAGAGTATGTTCTCAAAATGCATCCATTTGCCTAGAAATGTCCTTCTTTATAGCTGAATAGTACTCCATTATGTACAAAAAAAACACCCCATGCCTTTTTTTAGTATATGTGCTGCTGAAGTGAGCACACCCACATCTTTTTTATTCATTCACCAGTTGATGGGCATTTGGGCTGTTTCCAAGATTTAGCTATTGCAAACTGCCACTATAAACATGGGTGCACATATATTGCTGTGGTATGATTCTTTTAATTCTTTGGGGAAGATCCCCAGCAGTGGAATAGCGGGGTCAAATGGGACTTCCAGTCCTAGTTCTTTGAGGTATCTCCATACTGATTTCCACAGTGGTTGCACCAGTCTACACTCCCACCAGCAGTGGAGTAGGGTTTCTTTTTCCCCACAGCCCCACCAGCATTTGTTATTGGTTGATTTCATGATAGCAGCCATTCTTTCTGGGGTGAGGTGGAATCTCAGTGCTGTTTTAATTTGCATCTCTCGAATGACCAGTGATGTTGAACATTTTTTCATGTATTTATTTGGTGTTTCTACTTCTTCATCTGAGAATTGTGTATTCATCTCAGATGCCCATTTTTGGGTCTTTAAACTTGGGTGGGCTGATTTTTTTCAATTCTTTATATGTTCTAGATATTAGTCCTTTGTCTGAGGAACTGCTGGCTAAAATTTTTTCCCACTCTGTGAGTTGTCTCTTCACTCTGTTGGTGATTTCTTTTGTTGTGCAAAAGCTTTTCAATAAGATGAGGTCCCAGTTATTGAGTCTTTGTAGTGCTTCCAGTGAAGTCTGGGTTTTCTTCATGAAGTTTGTCTACTCCTATGTCCTCAAGCATTCTACCTATTCTCTCTTCCAGCAGATTTAGTGTTTCTGTTTTAATATTCCTTTTTTTTTTTTTTGTACCAGGGATCGAACTCAGGTCCTTGCACTTGCAAGGCAAGCGGCGGAACCACTGAGCTAAATCCCTGGCCCTGTTTTAATATTTCGATCTTTGATCCACTTTGATTTTAGTTTGGTGCATTTCAGACCCATCTTTTACATTCCCTCCCCAGCCATTGACTCAGCCATCACTTCAAAGAGCACTAATTCTTCTTAGTAGAGAGTGTCCTTTAGAAAGCAGGTGCCAGCTGGACTCATTGCCACTCAAGTCATTGCTTTTAGGCCTTGTAAGAAGACAGAGAAAGGAAATAGATGTATGTACACACACAGCTCTACATCTGCATTTATTCTATATTAATAACCATATTCCTCCATCTGTCTCTGTATCTGTATGAGGAATACAGTTCACACTGAAAGCCAATCCAATATCATTGGATTCATTCTATCCTTTTTTATTTTGTTCATAACTACCTTTTCTGAAAGTGAGGACATTTTGCTCAATACTATAGTGTATACAGAGTAGTTTTAGAATTGCTACTCTATCCAGGCCTCTGAAAAACAAGCTTCATTCTATAACCCAATAAATGTTTAGACTATGGCTCTCTGGCCCAAAACTATATAGTCAATGAACACTTGGGTTAGTCCTTTCTACAGCATCAGATTATAGCACACGCCTTTTCCCCCTCCTGGCTTTTACTTTGAGACATTTTCCTGAATTGTCCTGGTAATCTGAAGTCTCATTCCTGGTGCTCTGGTACTGCCACTGGAGACAAAGCATGTTACTGTGGAATTCCCAGTAAATTCCAATGCATTTCTACTTATTACCTTTTCTGGTGAAGTTAATCCAACAAGTAGAAAATATATATATATATCCATTCCCACAAACATACAACATACTTACAAGCTTATGGTAAGTGTTGTGGGAAAGTTGGCTCACAAAATCTCCCACTGTTATCCATATTCACATGGCTTCTACATCCCCTCATGGTTAGATGCCAAATATTCCTTCTTTTGCAGAAAAACCTGAATTCATCTTCTCTGTGGAAGCTTTGCAATACTTCTCTCTCTAAGCACAGAGTATAGGCCCACTAGTGCCATGCCCATAGAAGCTTGCTTCATATTTATCAAGTTCTCACATTCTCGATCTTCCATATTTAAAAATATTTACCTAATTAAATTTATGAGCTAGAAATTGAGAAACACATGGAGTTAACGGAAAGAGAGAAAGGGAAAAAAGTAGCCCATTCATTCGACTTTTCTCAGCTGCCATTCCTGAATTGGGAGATTTGGCTGAGCTCTAAGATATGCTATGCAATAAAACATCCATAGGATGCCAAATTTAGGTCCAGCATGAAAAGAAAACAGAATCCCTCCTACAAGACAAACTGTTCAATTTGGAAGTAGGAGGTTTTTTTTCTTTCCAATCCTACATTAAACCCTCACAGTGATGGTTTCCACAGGACAACAATCAGCCCACATTTGGAGAACTTCTGAATGGGGCAGTGCAGAAAAATTTAAGAAGCCTTCATTTCCCTGAATAGAGACCTGTTTCTCTGGGGGCTGGGCTTTCTGCTTTTGGACAGAATCCACTTTGTCATATCCTGGCTACAAGGGAGTAAAGGTATGAAGTGGAGGTAGGGCGGCCTATTCCAGGTGCTAGACACTTTGCACAGTGGGCCCTATTCTTTGTTGTTTAGAATCCACATTTCTCTTATTTTGGCTCATGGTTACGGCCCATGGTCAGCTGGCTCTCAGGAAGAAACAGGATGGCAGAGGAGCATAGCCAAGGAAAAGATGCTCATGATGTTGTGGCCAGGAAGCCAAAAAGAAGGGAGGATTTGGACAGGGAGCTAGAATCTTCCAGGTTACACCTCCATTGACCCACCTTTTTGGACCATACCTCCCCTTCTAACACCAAGTCAGCTATATCACCCCCACGATTCAATCATCTTCTAAAAGCCCTGGCTATGAGTACATGAGGTCTTTGGGGTTATTCATGATCTAAACCATCAGAGCTGGCAAAATGACCACTATCATTCTCATTATTACCAGCAGTAGTATTGGCTGTAGTTCTCAGAATAGTTACCACTTGTTTAATATCTTGACATTACCAATAGTCTGTGACAATCCTGCAAGAGTGACTGACTGAATGAATTATAACTGATAACTTGAGATAATAGTGTATTTATAAAAGAGAGCACAAAGCCTCGAGTAGTTTAATGACTTGTTTAAGGTCACACATAAGAAGAGATATGAGAGATCTTGTGTTCCTTCCTTGCTCTGGATCACGTGAAGATACAGTGAGAAAATGGCCACCTGCAAAGCAGGAAGTGAGTCCTCACCAAACACTATTATCTTCATTTTTATTTAATCAAAAAGAGGCAGTAACCTCCTTGAAATCTATGCTCTCTAGATCATTTAAACAGAAAACCCATTGAGAGTAAATTTAAAAATCCCAGAGGAAATGTTGAGAAGAAACTTTCCAAATGTTAGCAAATAGTGGTGTCTCTGAGAAGGGATCCCACAGATTTTGAACCACTATAACTTTGCAGATAACACTATTACATGGAAACTAAAACAAGTCTGTCTGAAAGCTGCCTGTGCACTTCAGAAGTAGAAAGACTCCAGGTTGCAGATGCAATTCAATATAGTAGATGCTCTTGGCAGCATACTTTGGAAAGCGCCTATATACATTTACTTTTAAATTTATTTAAAAGTGCATGGAGAGAGAGTAGAGGAGGATGACCCATGGTTGATGCTGCCTGCCTCTTACCTTTCAAGATAATTTGTGACACCCTCCAGTACAAAAATGAATTATATCATCATCACATTCACTGTCCTTGGAAAGGAATTTTAGCAATCATTGCTACTCAAGCAGTCCCCCTGGGGGTCTTGCAGCATCTGTTTGCACCTGCATCCCCTCCCCCATTGCAGCCTGTCCTCCTAATCCTCTGCAACTCCGCAGGTTCTCTCCCTGGGAAAACCAATATTATCCATCCTGCTGGTTTTCTAAGTACATTTTAACATCTCACATGTATTAGTTTCTTCATCTAACTCTGCATTTATATATGGATATCAAATTGTATGCAATTGAAAATAGGGAGGGGAAAGAGGGAGGAGCAGAAAT